TGCAGGTATTGAGAGAGAAGAGTACAGAATGATGTCTTACCAAAAAAAAAAAAAAAAAAAAAAAAAAGAAAAAAATAAAAAAAAAATTGGAAAAACACCTCATTTAGTGTCTCGGTACGTTTAGTGATGGTCACCGATTCAATATCGATACCTTCAGTCTGGTATGTTTCTTGTGCGAATGACCCAAACACATCTAATGGTAATGTCAATGTCAGTATCGATCAAACACATCACTCGCTCTCCTCTGTACTTACTTGCATGGCCAGCTCCTCCTGTAGCACCGGCTTGAGTGTGTATGTTAGTATTGAATGAAGACATTGCGCCGATGTTGTTTGTACTTACGAGCTGGGGGAAGATGCGCACGAACAATTGCCCGAGGGCCCATGGGTGGGATCAGTTCTTTCCAATCGCTGTCACTGAGTCCTTGCAGGGATTTGATTGTGAGACCTTGCTTCTTGATGGCCTCCACAGTGTCCTTGCGGAAATCTTTGGGTATCTCTGACTCATCAGACAGTATCCAATTGAAGAGGTCGTCCATTGTCAAAATGGGAAGAGAATATACAGAGCGAGTATAAGTTAATTGAGAGGTAGTTGTAATAGTAGTTGTTGGTGTTGTGTGAATATTGAATGAGTGAGCACCAAAGGTTGTGCCTTTGTGTGTTAGAGGTGAAGATGATCTGCATGTCCCATTTTGGAAACTCATATATAAATTAAATCAAATTAAACAATTTATCTCTAACAGATATAACATGTCATTATTCAAAGAGTACTATTGGGACGAGAACTCAGAGTTCAGAGAGCGTCACAAAGCATACATCAAACAAAAGGTAAGATGCGAATGCGGCTTCGAGGTCGGTCGCACCAATCTCAATCGACACAAGCAGGGCTACATCCACAAGCAATTGATGGCCAACAAATGATCAAAGTGATATAAACTAATTATCTCTAATCAGTATATAGAATGAGTAGATCAACCAGAGACATTGGCGGCAGACTGAAGAAGACGGGCGTGACCGAGATCAAGCTCACCGGCAACTACACCAGAGCAGACATCGAGCGAATCGCTCAGCAAGACAGCAACACTCTCCAACGCTACGGCGCCAACGCCAGAATAGAGGTCGTGCTCGACTACGGCAACCATCAATATCGATCAGGCAAGTTCACCAAGGTAGGCGAGCCGATCATCATGTTTGATCCTCACGAGTACGATGGTGCGCCGATAGCAGAGCCTGACACATTCAAATCGTTCTACATCTACGTACATCAAGCAAAGGGCAAGGCAGGAGGCTGCAATGGCGAATGGAACAACTGCCTCTACCACTGTCTCCTCGACGCCTATCCCGAGCAGGTCACAGAGCACTTTGGCAAACCATCGCGCCTCAAGTTGTTCCTCGATCTTGACGTCAAGCAAAAGGTCTCGATCAAGCGGATCCCAGAACTCGAGGCCAGACTCAACATCAGAATCAATGTCAAAGGTGATCACTGCTACGCCTCGGCCAGCAAGGCAACCAGAGAGGTCAACCTAATACTAACCAACACGCACTACAAGCTAGACAAGGAGGGCACCTACGTCGGCAAAGGCATCAGACATACACGACACAAAGATAGAGACGTCTACATCAAGCCAATCGTATTCAAGTATCTCAAAGGCGAGCAGGTGCAGCTCTACGATGACGGCGAGTACATGACCATCAGCCTAGAGCAGTTCATCAACAGCAAGAGACGTAAGTACCAAGACAAATGTGAGTACATCCGTATCCTCTCTGGCAAGTCCAATCCCAAGAAGCTAAAGAATCGCCAGGCTATGTTTGTTGAATCAGTGATCAAATCAGTACCAAACACGACCAACTATCAAGTATTGATCAGATATGGCGAGAACCCAACATCCAAACTTACAATCCATGCTCGAATGGTAGATGAACCAAATGGAATTGGAATATGTATTGTCAGAGATCAGAGTATATACAAAGATAACACCTATTTCCATATTCTATCAATTAATACAGACTGATCATTGATTGATCACTCACACTCACACACAATCAATCATAAACTTGAACATGATGTTCATTCATCCATTCATTAAATATAACACATTTGATCAATCAACTGATACATATATAATAGACATGGATAGAGATATCAATAGGATTAGAGTGATCACAGGTCATCTTACTGCCAATACAACTGCGGCAACAGGTGGTATGTGTTGTTTGATTGATTGAATGATTGAATGAATGCCGATTGTTAACCATGGTCCATGACAACAGTTCCTGTCACTGTAACTACACCTTATGAGACTATACTGTTCAATGTGAACTTGGAGAAACGTGTCGGTATCATTCAGTTCAACAGACCAACTTCAATGAACTCAATCAGTGACAAGCTTGTCGATGAGTTCTTGGATGCACTCAACAGATTGGACAATGATGGCAGAGTGAACTCTATTATCATCACTGGCAACGACCGTGCCTTTTGCTGTAAGATAGAGAGAACCATAGGCATAGAGGAGACTCAGACGATGAACATACTCATTCATTCGTTCATTCATTCATTAAAACATATAGGTGGCGCAGACATCAAAGAGTTGGTACACGTTGGCTATGAGTCAATTAGCAAGAGTGGCAACATGATTGATAGGATCACATGGATGGCAAGGACTACAAAGCCAATCATTGCTGCTGTTGGTGGTCTGGCACTTGGTGGTGGATGTGAGATTGCCCTGCTGGCAGACATTGTCGTCGCCAGTGAGAAGGCTCGTTTTGGTCTGCCAGAGATCAAGATCGGCACGATCCCCGGTGCAGGCGGCACGCAGCGTCTTACAAAGGCCGTAGGAAAGTCCAAGGCAATGGAGATGATCCTTACAGGCCGTATGATGGACGCCGCCGAGGCCAAGTCATACAACTTGGTCAGTCGCGTCGAGAAGGACCAGCAAGCAGTGATGGAGGCGGCGATGGCCATCGCTGCCGACATTGGCTCAATGTCATTGCCCATTGTCACCATCGCAAAGAAAGCAATCAATCGTTCATTCGAGACCAATCTCACCGAGGGTATGAACGCCGAGAACGACCTCTTCCTCTCGACCTTTGCCTACGACGACCGCAAAGAGGGCATGGATGCATTTACAAAGAAGCGCAAACCGGTCTGGAAGAACAAGTATTGATACTTGATTGATTTGACTGATGTTATGTATGAATGAAAGAATGAATGCTAGATACATTGTTGTAGAGTACCATCGCTGGCTATCGGTTACATGTTATTACTATTTATATATATATATATATATATATCTATATATATCTATCTATTTGATCATTTTGTGTCCTTCTTTATCCTTTCGCTACCATAGAACACTTGATGCATATCATACATGTCTTGATGGGATAGATGATGGAAGGTGGCGCCTTTGACCATCTCTTGCCAGACGGTCGGCTTCTCGGGGTACAGCTCCGCCACCAATGTATAGGTGACATTGTTGTCGAAGAAGCAGAACGATGTGGTCAGATCGTTGTGACCATAGTCGATGCACTGCTTGTTCTCGTACCACTCCATCATTTTGTCCAGGCCGCCGCGAGGCAAGATGATACCGGCACCGCCACCACAGAATGGTTTGGGATTCCATGGTGTACCAATGCACTGTCCTAGAATGGCCACTGACTCTGGATCATATGGCAGCAGCATCTTCTCCATACGCTCTACATTAACATAAGTATCATCATCCACCTTAATATAAAAGTCTGATCTATGTGAGCAACTGATTATTAATTGAATGGAGGTTAGCATGTGTGTCTTTGGATGAGCAATGTCGACAAGGATTGCTATTCATACCATTTCTGTGCATGCTTCCAAGCCTTCCATTGTTTGATGTCATTGCCTAATGAACTGGCATCGCTCTCGTGTGTAGCGATTGTGTCGTGGGGACTGCCCATATCTGTCTCTGAGTAATAGAACACTCTCCAGCCCATGTCCACTGCACGTTTGGCCCAAGTCTCCCTAACAGCCTTTGTCCTCGTCTCCTTGAATACATCTGAAGTCAACACCACAAACGTTACCATTGGTGGTCCCGGTGTAGGTGATGGTGTCACAATAGGCTCACATTGTTTCAATGTATGTGACTGATTTCCTGATCCTAATAACATGTATTCATTCTTCAATGTTAGTGTGTTGTTGTTGTGTTGAGGAAGCGAAGCGAGGAGGAAGAGACTAACCTGAATGTGAACTATCATATGTTTTAAAGTCCATCACCTGTATAAAGATCAATGAGACGATCAGCAGAAAGAATACTGCGCCAAGTTTATAGTACAACATGATTGTTTATGTGTATGTATAAATATAAATATAAAATATAAGAGATATAAAGCTATATAGATATTTAGTTAAATAGATAGTTATAAATAGAAAGATGTAATAAATGAATATGTATGTATCTTGAGAGACTCGAATCTGAACTGAAGCCTTTGACATATCCACGAATAAAGTGACTCACTCTCCCTCACCAACACAGAGAAACAAGAGAAGAGATGACATGTAACGACAGAGGGTACCGACAAAACGTTGAAAGTGTTTGGATAGTGTCCTGGTTGGGGGCAATTGTGGGGGGTATCTGCCTGACAAGGCAGTCTCCAACAAACCCCTAATCATCAAAAATATCAACCACAACACCCAAACACGCCAATTGAGGGGGGCCTAGGCCAAAAGATCTCGATGACCATCGTTCGTGTTCAGTTGGGCACAGACACTTTGAAACGTAGAATGAATGCATGAACAGTGATCAATTCGGATGAACCTAATGCACAAGGAAGGCTGTGATTACTTCCATTCTAGATCAAGTATGATCATTCTCTACCAATCAAACACAGAACAATCACACGACAAACATCCAAGGTTCCAGGGAAACTAGTGACTTTTCACGAAATAACTGACTTTGAAAAGGAATGGGCTTGATGGGCTGGGAATACCAGGTCAGCATTTTATGACATCCAATCAATCAATCAATTGTTATTAATATTATTATTGATTATTATTCGCTCAATTGATTAATTGGTGTGATTGATGGGGAGGATGATGGTGAAGTCGTGGGCGTAGTTGTTGATGTTGTTGTTATCTTGTTGATTCTTAACAGAGTTGGAAATCTTTGAGCGACTACGTAGGCAACTATACCAAAGGATACGGCGATATTTAAACTAATCTTCTGACCACGCATCGGAAGGTCAAATATATAGTCGCACTCGTCTATTACTTCTGGACTCAGTCCTCCTACTTCATTGCCAAATAACAAACAAATGGGAGGAGGTCCAGCAGCAGCAGCAGCATCAGCATCGGGAGAAGTTGACAATGATTGTACCAGGTGATCCAGACCTTGCTCGAGAAGCGGCATGCTTCGCTCATCCTGCTCGATGCCAACGATCTTGACACCCTTGCTCTTTAACTCGCGAACACAATATAGTGCACTCTCTGCGTAGCTCCACGGGACAAATTCTTCGGCGCCAAGGGCTGTCTTTGATATTTGCTCGTTTGGAGGACTGCCCGTGATGCCGCACAGATAGACATGAGAGAATCCCGCGCCATCGCACGATCTAAACACACTGCCAGTGTTTGCAAGACTGCGACAGTCGTCCAACAGCACACTGATGCCTGAGGGTGGACTCTTCTCAAGGTCCAGACTGCTGAGCACCTTGGTTTTGGCCTCCAAGTCGACCATGTATTGGTCGCGTCTCCTGCGCAACAGTCTCTGATAGCTGCTCGTATGCTTCTTAAACGTTTGTTTGGTGGCACAGCGAGGACAGTATCCCTCCATGCCTCTAAGCTTTGCCGGCACCTTAAATGGCAAATGACAAGATGCCTCTATACAATGTGTTACCAAGTCATCATCCACTCGCTTCTCTTCTTTTGAATCAGGAGTAGTAGCAGATTGTGATTTGTTGTTGTCGCCGCTATTGTTGATGTTGTTGTTGATGTTGATATTGTTGATGTCGATATTGCTTAGATCATTGTTGATTAAACTACTTGTTGTAGAGGTTGTAGTTGAGGTGACATGATGACGTCGTCCAAACACATTACCACCGACGTCAAGCTGCCAGCCAGCAGTCGAGTCCGCAGATGTAGCAGCTGTCTTTGTTGAGGTCGTATGAGTAGTTATTGTTGAAGCTGTTGTGAAAGTTGGATAAATAAGAGTGCCTGCTGTTAGAGATGAAGACTTGGGCGTAGTAGGCAATCTCCAGAGTTTAAACATCAGACATCTTCTTCCAACAAGCATTACGACTGTATGTATAAGTATGACAAATAGTATTGCGCTGTGCACTGTGCATCGATGGCATACTGAGAGTGAGAGTGAGAGTTGCGTGGTGTCACACCACAACACAACCTTCGCTTCCTCGTCAACGACTCACATCATCAAACTGTTGTTGCGTAAAACTTGTGTTATTCAAAGACATGAATTTACATGGATATGGTAACTCCACATCCTTTATCCATATGTTAATATATGTTATAAAATATATTAATAATTATAATATTATTATTATTATTATTATGTACATCCATCCAAGTTGGATTGTGTTGTGGTGGAGTGATGATGTGGTGATTGATGCGTGTGTATGGAGTGAATGATCATTCATCATCAACCACATCCAACCCCAATACTCGCAATCACAAGACATAAGAATGCGTTGATTTTAAGTCCAATATCAGAGGGTAGGTGAACATAGACAAGGAGGTGGTTTGTGATTAATTGATAGATAGATAGAATGAATGATGTGATGGTTTGACATAGACAACAATAACTGACATGTTATAGATTGCATACATACATACACATACACACACAAGGATAGTAGTATCTACAAACTTGTAGTGATCAATACAATCAATCAATCAAATCCAATCCAATCCAATCAATCTTTTAAATCAATCAAGTGTTATGATATTGCATTGAGAAGTGATTTGTTTGTGCTAGTATGGTCTGTTTGGTCGCACTATATTGAATGTAGTGTTGTTATAGTCTATCATCTATCTACCTATCTATATTCTATATTTATCATATACATCAACTTCTTCTTTTGGAAATACAACTATTAAAGATAAAGTGCTTTCAATGTAAGTTTATCAATCATTCAATTCAATCAAACAGGAGGTTGGTTATTGTTGGTGTGTGGAAGTGCAAGACTGTGGACATAACAGTATTGTTTTGCAACTGTTTTTGCATTATGGAGGCGGAGTGGACCTTACCATGCCCATCGACACCACAGGCTCGGGTGCCGTGGATTCGGTACAACAAAACGCGTTTTGATGGGGGATAGTACACACTCGGCACCCTTGTTGTAAATCAAATCAACGACTTCTAAAAAAAAAGAATCTTGATGACAGCCTATCCAATGGCCCTGTTCCCGACAAAGATCAACTCACACTCTCCACTTACCCTGCGAAGCATACTACAAGCATAAACACACACAAGCTCCCATCCTCTTGACATATCTCATCAATCTACCAATCTACCAATCAAACAATCACACATTCACAAGCTCTCTCTTTATCTACCTACATCTTTTAACTTACTTATTATTATAACAAATAATTATAGAAATATATATAAATATTAGTAGTGAGACATTATAATAGCAATCAAACAACCAACCATTCAACAATCGATCAAGAAGTCTGTGAACTGATTGTAAAGGTGTGTGTTTGATTGATTGATTGTGATCGTGGGGGACAGACTGCGGGGACACCCACTGACCGAACTAGCCAAACTAATACCCAACCTACATCCATACTTAGACAACAAATCCATATCAAGTATACTTATCCTAAAGTAGTATACATAACCATATATTATCAACTCAATCAACTCAGTCAATAATACAACAACGTCAACAACCATAATACAATATTATAACAACATAAATTATAACAAACAATCATGGTTGGATTCTGGAACAAACGTAGGAATACATCATTGAATAAGAATCCATTGGGTTCATCAGCTCCACAACTATCAAAGAATGCATCACAAGCCGACTTTAATGATTATATTGCAAACTCCACCGAGGATTATGTGGACCCGGCCTCAATCGCAATTTTAAAGTCATCAAAGGGCATCCCATTGCCCAACAGCATGCTGGGCCGCAGTGGCAGCCGCGAGTTTAGCAGCCAAGGCTCACACAATGGCAGCAGCAAGGACGGCGCCTCCTTCTCCTACCAAGACCTGCGTTCAAACTCGTACAACTCAAACAACAATAGCTGGCGCTCAAAGTCATCGTCCGAGGACAGCCACAGCGGCTCGCGACGCCGCGACTCCGTCGCCTACACTGACAAGGAGGTCTTCCCCAACGGCGTCAAGCGTGAGCTTAAAGGCATCATGTTGATGGGCGAGGGCAACGATGACGTGCTGATCCGTGCCAGGACCTACATCAATCACAATGGAGAGCTTCACTTCACGCTCGAGGATCTCGAGCAGTACATGCTGCCCGCCGGCTTTGACGACTCACAGCAGGTTCAACTCAAGATGCCCATGATATACTCAATGTCGCGCTCTGGCTTCGAGGTGGAGGACTCGCCAGAGGACCTTCATTGGGAGACTGACGATGCTAATGAGGAGGAGGGTGGCAAGAAGTCAGGCCTCTCGTCGTGGGCACCAAAGTCTCCAGACTTAGCCTCACAGCAACAATTCGAGGAGACCTTCCAGCAAATGCAGCAACAGCAACAACAACAACAACAAAAGGCCAAGCGTTTGACCCTGGTCGAGCCAGTGGCACCTTTGAATGGAAGTGCCGAGGCACTTGCAAGTGCCGATGACAGCGACGACGAGGATCACCTCGAAACAACATATGTCCTCCAGATGGGCAATGACGAGTACAAAGACGATGATACCGACGCCATCGATCTCAAGACAGAGGACATCTCCAAGATAGACACCATCCATCTGAGGACTGAGAACCTCGACTACAACGACGAGGACAACAGCAGTCAGATCACCGACGACGACTCATTCTCAGACTACATGAACGACTATCAGTTCTTCTCAGCCAATGCCAGTGCCAATGCCAACGTCAACATGCAGAGACGCAAGTCAAGCAGTCTGTCACAACCAACCAGCGCCAGCTCCAGCAGAAAGAACTCCAACTCACGACAACAGACCAACAGCGCCGGTGTTAGTGCCAGCTCAAGTAGGAAGAACTCTGGCACCAAACCAGCGGACCAGGTTGTTCCACAGCCTCAACCACCCGTACAGAAGAAGCTACCGGCCGTAGTCGATGAGGATGATGACGATGATGAAGACACCAGCTCATTGGATGACGACGATTCATCAATGTCCGACGATGACTACAAGTACATGTCGGTACGTGCCGGTGCCAAGGTTCAGGAGGATGTCGTACAGGACGACCAAGTGGAGCTAGAGTATGTCATGCCCCGCAAACAGTCAATCATCAACTACTTTGACTCTGTACAAGTACAACCAAGACAAGAGGCCATCCAACAAGAGAAGGATAGGCTGGAGCGAGAGAGAGCGGAGCGAGAGAAGACAGAGAAAGCAGAGAAGGCACAAAAGGCCGAGAAGGAGAGATTGGAAAAGTTGGAGATTGCTGAAAAGGCCAGAGTGGAGAAGTTAAGACTTGAGCAAGAGAGAATAGAGCGTGACAGAGCCGAGAGACAACTGCGAGAGAAGGCTGAGAAGGATAGATTGGAGAAGGAGCGAATCGAGAAGGCCAGGCTGGAGAAGGAAAGGATCGAGAGAGACAGACAGCTCAAGGAGAAGGAGAGACAGGAGAAGATCAGGATAGAGAGGGAGAAGCTGGAGATCGAGACAAGGGAGCGTCTGGAAAGGGAGAGACTGGAACAAGAGAGACGTCTACAGGAGCAGCTCGCAGCTGCAGCAGCCGCCTCTGCCGCCAAGTCCAAGATTGACAGCGATGACAAGGCACTTCTTCAATCCATCGCCGACCTCATTGACATTTCATCCATTCCAACTGTTGCCACTACTGTCAGCAACCACAGCGTCTCCAACAACAACGTCCCAGCCAAAGTCAACTACCGATCAAGTGTCCAGCTGACGTCGGCCCAACTAAACACCGTCGCCAACGGCGGTGGCGTCGCACCAAACAATGTTGGCGGCAATGCCAACAACATTGATGACATCTTTGACAACATCATGAGCGTGACCAAGGAGCGCCGCTTCACCATCTCCTCCTCACCGCTAGAGATGCAACGTGCACTGGAGCTGGAGCGCAAGAAGGATGAGCAGACCAAGTACTCGCGCTTTGAAGAAGAGCGAAGGAGGAAACAGATGGAGGAGGAGCGCAAGAAGAAGCTGGCCGAGGAGGAGACCAAGCGCCGTCTGGAGAAGGTGGAATTGGACCGCCAGCGTCGCCAGCACGAGGAGCGCATGAAAAAGCTCCAGCTAGAGGAGGAGCGAATCAAGCTGCAGGCCGCCGTCGCCATCCGTGATCAGGAGAGGAAGGAGCAAGAGGAGGAGGCCAGAAGACAGAGGCAGCTGCAGAAGGAGATTGAGCACCTTGACAACACGACCAAGAACGTGCTGTTGGCGCAGAGCCTTGTGGACAACCCCTACGGATCAATCAGACTGTCCGACGATTTTGAGACCAACCAGAGGATCTTTGACAAGATTCGCGAGCTCCAGGTCGAGGACCAGGCAAGCGACAACGACCTCAGCGACGACGATGTGGACTACAACTACTCAATCAGGAAAGGACAGAAGGTTGCCCAGGCATTGGCCAAGGCGGCTGCTGGTGGTCAAGACGACATCGACAGTGATGACTCTGATGGCGAGTCGTCCGAGGAGATGGAGTATCATCATCAACCAAGGAAGTCCAAGTTTATCAAGTAGATGCCCAAAGCATGGCAGAGCTGCACATGTATTATAAGTTCCAACAACCAAGTGCACAATAAACTACTTCTATCACTCTCTTGGCCCAAGTTGCCGCGCTACGTACCTACACAACTACATCGTTATCATTTGGTATGAATGCCAGGGACAACGACATCGTCGTGTCGTTGCCAATGGCTGTTTATTGAGAGAGGCTATTATTGAATGTACTATTATATCATTATGTTGAGGATGAAGATGATGATGTCTTAAGAGCTTTCGGACTGCGCTTGAGACTTGGCGAAAGCCTCACGCTGCTCGGTGTACAGCTGTGTGGCCGGCTTGGAGGTCTGAGCATCGTGCTCCTGTGCCAGCTTCGAGTTGTCGTTGATGAGTTGGCTGTGTTGCTCCTTCTCCTTGCTGCTGATCTCGCGCACAAAGCGAGCGGGACTGCCGCCCCAGATCTGGTTGGCGGGCACACGCTTACCAGCGGTGACCAGCGAGCCAGCCTCGAGATGGGCGCCCTTCTCGACGACGGCACCGTCAAAAACGGCGGAGCCTGGGCCGATGTAGACGTCGTCCTCAATGACGCAAGCGTGCAGGATGGCTCCTGGACCGACAAAGACGCGGTTGCCGACGACGGTGGGCTGTGCGCCCTTGGGACCATTTTCGCTAGAGCAATGTACAACAGTGCGATCGCTGATCACTGTTTCGTTTCCGACGACGATTGAGTTGACGTCGGCACGGAGCACTGTGTTGTACCATACTGATGACTTGGTGCCAATCTCCACGTTGCCAATGACACAGGAGCTTGGTGCAATGAATGACTCTTTACCGAGTGATGCTACCTTGCCTCTAAGTGGTGTGACTCTAGAGTGTCTGCTCACTGTTGTAGTTCGTTGTTGACATCAAACAATAAAAGTGAATGAATGAATGATTGAATGGTCTATGTTAGAGTCGTCCCGTGTACTATATGTTGCTGATGCTGCTGCGGCTGGTGTTGCTGCTGTTGTTGTCTTACAGTTCTCCATATATGAGTAGTTGCCTTGCAGGTTGCAACCGAGCTTATCGAGTGACTTTCCAGTCGACCTGATAGAGTCACCGATCAGGTAGATTATATTCTTCATTGACAATGACATCTTCTTCTTCTTCTTATTCTTCTTATGCACACAACGTCGTCGTTGTTATGTTTCAAACAAGTAGTAGAGGTAAGTAGTATATAGTAAAGTAATAAATTGAATGATTACTCATTTCGAATCACAACCTCATTAGGTCGATCAGTCAAACTTTGACAAAAGTCCAAAAAAGTTTCCATTGACTCATTCCTAAAGTCTGATCAATTACTAGTTGATTGGACATGTGTTACTATTTGATGGTATAATAATAAAATCAGTTTATTATTTATGGAGAGGAATAGTTTATACTATACCCCTAGTTAGTTACTGTAGCTGTTGCACTGATGGTTGTATCACCAATGGTTGCTTTGGCATCGGTAGAAAGATCTAGGAGTCCTGATAGACCGTCAAAGAGACCGGCATTCTTGTTGGACGACTGAATTCCAAAGTTGGAGGCGGAACTGGAAATAGATGTGTTGGACATTCCCAAGGAGGAAGTTGGAGTCATGTTCTTTAAGGCAGAGATGAGAGTCATTCTAAAGGTATTGAAATTAATTTGATTAATTGATTAGTTGATTGATTGATTATTTTAATGTCAAATAGATAGAGTATTTATATTAATTGGTCCATCTTTGATTTATTGTAATATAATTCGAAACAATATATTTTTATTTAATCTATTTCGATTTTATCTTTGAAGAGAATAAGAGATATATCTTATTTTTATTTGCAAATTGTACTCGGACACTCGGACTCTATCTCTCACTATCAATTAATCAATCAATCCTTATACAGTGTTAACACTTGTCACTTAACTTCTGTGTGTGTGATCAGGAGATACAGATATTTGATAATAGTAGGATTGTGAAAATAATAAGGAGAATATACAAATTTGATTAGAAATACATTCAAAGTAAGTAATAGGAATAGTTAAGATCATTATTTTTGAGACCGAGAAATGCTTCAATTTAGTATATTGCATTTATTACATTATTAAATTAATTGCCTATGGATGTAAATAAACATATCTGAAGTAGAAGTTGGTTGATCAGAGGAATTAACCTTATATCCAATAATAATTAAGGATTATTAAGATTTTTATTTGTTATTGTAAACTATTAATAATAATGATTGATCCAATTTGTAAAGGAGATGGAATTTATGAGAATGGATGGTAATAACCAGAGTATTTAGTTTATTACAAATAGATTTATACACTTATATAAATAATTATGTATACAAAGGATTAAATCAGGGAAGTTCCTTAGTTGACATGGGCATCAATGTGGGCAGTGAGGATGTTGCATCCAGCGAGGTTGACATTGGCATCAACGTTGGCATCGACATGGATACCAGAGAGGAGACCACCGACACAGTCAAGGAGACCGGCACTCTTGTTGGACGACTGCATTCCGAAGCTGGAGGCAGCGCTGGCAATCGATGAGTTGGACATTCCCAAGGAGGAAGTTGGAGTCATGTTCTTCAAGGCAGAGATGAGAGTCATTTTTAAGTTTAGTTAAGTTAGTTAATTAAGTTAATTGATTTGATGATTTTAAAATGATCAATTTGGTACAGTATTTATATCCATTGATCCACCCTGGATTAGACTGTTAATAAATATATATTGTCGGAAATTATTAGATGACACGTCATGGAATTTATTTATTATTTCTTTGATTCAACTTAAACTTAACAGTATTGTTATCACATGGGTAGCTGGAGTTATTACTAGTATCCATGTACTTGTTAACCCGCTCGCTCTCTAACTCACACCTACTTTTACACTTGTCAAACCACATTTACTGACAAATTAAAAGAATCAATTTTAAGAGGGTGGTGTTCGAGTGTAGTAGAATATGATGTATATACAGATAATACATTAGGGGTTATTTTAATGATGATGATGATGATCATAGTGAAGATGATCATGATCAAGATGATGTCATCCATTAATATTATTGTACTTTCATTACTCTTAAGGAGGTTGTTCTTAAATTGAATAGGTAGATGAATAATATTAATAAATTATTTAATTTAGTATTGAGATCATTATGAAAGGGATATGAACTCTAGATATTGTTATGTTTATCCTCAACGAGGTTTGAAAGATGACTCAACAAATTGTTATTAATGTTCTTAAAAGGAAGAGATGAATATTCAATATGATTGATTGATTCATTGAGTGAGTGATAAAATAATGATAGTTTGTTTCTGGGTCATGGGTATTTTGTTAGTATGCTACATAATATTTCTTAGACAATATATTAATTTTGTACAAACAAACAAATAAATTATAATTTGAATATGATTTAGGAAGGATGGTAATAACCATTATTACAGTTTATTACAAGGAGATTTATACAGTAGTATTATATAAAGGATTAGAAACAACAGGGAAGTTCCTTAGTTGACATGGGCATCAATGTGGGCAGTGATGATGTTGCATCCACCGAGGTTGACATTGGCATCAACGTTGGCATCAACATGCAGACCAGAGAGGAGACCACCGACACAACCAAGGAGACAAGCATTCTTATTTGAGGATTGAGTGCCAAAGCTGGAGGAGGCACTGGCAATCGATGAGTTGGACATTCCCAAGGAGGAAGTTGGAGTCATGTTCTTCAAGGCAGAGATGAGAGTCATTTCTAAGTTGGTATTGTTTAGTAAGTTAATTAAATTGATTGATTTGATGATTTTAAAATGATCAATTTGGTCGAGTATTTATATTCATTGTTCCACTTTGTATTAGACTGGAGCAATAATATGTTAATTAATATCCAGACATTATTACTTGATACATCACGGAATTAACTTATTATTTCGTTGATCCAAATTAAATTAACTTAACAATGTTGATATCATATGGTCGAGGGAGTTTGTATTTGATTCCAAGTACATACACCATCATACACTCACCAACTCACTCATTCGCACTTACTCACACTTTAGTTAACACATATATCTACCCAATTAATGACTAACTGATTGACATATTGATCTACACTTAGGAATGTGTGTGTGTGTGTGTAATGGAAGAGGTGGAATCAGATAATAAAAGAGGGTGGTTGGTTTGAGGATGATGTGGATTTGTGTGAAGTGATGGTGATGGCCATCCACAAAAATGATTGAAATATGTTCAAAGATATAAGTAGTTGACGTTGATGACAGTTAATGTAGTGGAGACATTATCCTGATTTGGATGTCATTTTAAAAGAATGTTAATGACACTAATTCGAAAAGACACAGCATCAATTCAACCAATTATGGTAACCTCCTATCAAATATCTTTCCAACTGATTGGGTATATTCCACATTGTTCAAAAACTATATAAACAATAATATTTGATCATTTTTATATCATCAAATCAATCAAATAATCTTAACAAATAATAATATAAACTAAAATGACTATCCTTGGTATGTGTATATTCTTGAAATTAACTTCTTCAAATAAGAGATAATATTCTAACAATCAATCAATCAATCAAATAGCCACCCTTAAGAACATGAACCCATCTGCCTCATTGGCCAAGTCTGGTGCCTCCTTCTCTGGATCATCAGCCAGCGGTGCCTCCCAAGGTTCAAGCCAGAGTGCATGCTGGAACCCATGTTTCCCAGGTATTCACATCGATGCAAATGTTGATATCGATATCAACTTGGGTCGTTGCAACTTGTTGGATGCTCACATCAGCGCCAATATTAACATCTAAACACCCTCCATCATCTGGATAATGTATATAAACATTCAATTGCGCGACTTCGCTCCTTACTACTCCAATACATTATGTATATTTGATTGACTGATTGATTGATAAGAGTAAAAGTTTATTTACTGGTTCTTTTGGCTGTTGCCTTCTTGGTGACTGGTGGCTCGG